TCTCCATTTTTTTTGGTGTCGAGAGTTGCATTATTGATTTTCTATTGTCCCTGAATCTAATTTCAACTTTTTTGAGAGTTGAGAGTTGATTGTTGAATATTGATTTTCAATTACCTCTCAATTTACTCTCAACTCTCAAAAGAGTTGAAAGTAAATTGAGAGATAATTGAAAATCAATATTCAACTATCAACTCTCAACTCTCAAAAAAGTTGAAACTAGATTTAGGGACAATACAGAATCAATAATGCAACTCTCGACACCAAAAAAAAAATGGAGAGTAGATTGAGAAAGAATTGAGAATCAATAATCCAACTCTCAACTGTAAAAAAACTTGAGAGTCGAACGAGAGACAATTGAGAGTAGGTTGTGTGATGTCCAAAACCTCTACAAGATCGGTTTTGACACGATCATTCTATATTAANTTTGAGAGTTGAGAGTTGGATTTTTGATTCTTGATTCTCAAATGTCTCACAATCGACTCTCAACTTTTTTAAGAGTTGAGAGTTGCATTACTGACTCTCAATTGTCACTCAATCTACTCTCAACTCTTTTGAGAGTTGAAAATGGGATTTTTCGTTCTCAATTGTTCTTTCGTTCTCAATTGTTTTGAGAGTTGAGAATTGCATTTTTCAACCTCAATTGTCCCAATTGAGACAATTGAGAATCAATAATCCAACTCTCAACTCCCAAAAAAGTTTGGAGTAGATTGAGAGACAATTGAAAATCAATAATCCGGTACTCAATTCTCAAAAAAGTTGAGAGTCGATTGTGAGACATTTGAGAATCAAGAATCAAAAATCCACTCTCAACTCTCAAAAGAGTTGAAAGTAAATTGAGAGATAATTGAAAATCAATATTCAACTATCAACTCTCAACTCTCAAAAAAGTTGAAACTAGATTTAGGGACAATACAGAATCAATAATGCAACTCTCGACACCAAAAAAAAAATGGAGAGTAGATTGAGAAAGAATTGAGAATCAATAATCCAACTCTCAACTGTAAAAAAACTTGAGAGTCGAACGAGAGACAATTGAGAGTAGATTGAGAGATAATTGAGAATCAACTCTAAAAAAAAATTGAGAGTCGAGTGACAAACATTCCAGAACCAAAAATAAAAAATCCAACTCTCAACTCCCAAAAAAATTGGGAGTAGATTGAGGGATAATTGAGAATCGATAGTTCAGTTCTCAACTCTCAAAAAAGTCGAGAGTCGAGTGAGAGACATTTCAAAATGAAAAATCCTATTAAAAAAAAAAATCAAATTATCAACTCTTAAAAAAGTTGCGAGTAGATTGAGAGACAATTGAGAATCGATAATCCAACTCTCAAAAAAAGTTGAGAGTCGATTGAGAGATATTTTACAATCAAAAATGAAAAATTCAACTCTCAACCCTCAAAACAGTTGAGAGTAAATTGAGAGACAATTGAGAATCAACAATCCAACTCTCAACTCTAAATAAAGTCGAGTCAATTGAGGGACAATTGAGAATCAACAATCCAACTTTCAACTCCCAAAAAAGTTGAGAGTAGATAGAAAGACATTTGAGAATCGATAATCAAAAATTCAACTCTTAATTCTCAAAAAAGTTGAGAGTAGATTGAGGGACAATTGAGAATCAATAATCCAACTCCCAGTACTCAAAAAAGTTGAGAATTGAGTAAGAGACATTGCAGAATCAAAAATAAAGAATCCGACTCTCGACTCTCAAAAAAGTTGAGAGTAGATTGAGAGACAATTGAGAATCGATAATCCAAACTCTCAACTCTAAAGAAAGGTGAGATTCAATTGAGAAACAGTTGAGAATCAAAAATCTTATTTTCAAAAAACAAATTGTCTTCTCAACTCCTAAAAAAATTGAGAGTAAATGAAGAGACAGTTGAGAATCAAAAGCCCTGTTTTCAAGAAAACTCGGATTTTCAACTCTGAAAAAGTTGAGCCGATTGAAAGACATTTGAGAATCAAAAATCAAAAATTAAATGTCCAATTCTGAAAAAAGGTGATTGAAAATGGAGAGGTCACTAGGAATAAAAAATCCAATTGTCAAGTATCTCAAAAGTTGATTGTAAAGAGAGCGACTAGCATAGAATGCACTCTAGGCCCCGTCACTCCAACTCTCAACTAAATCTTAATTCCTCTCAAACACAGGAAATTATCGAGACTCCAACTATCAACTTGGTCCGCCAGGGATATAGCTTGGAATAAAAACTTTTTTTTGGCAGTGGCTATTCACACTCCCGCGTGAATCCCTCCGGTACACTCCGTACACTCCATGGGATTTTCTGAGTGATTCACGCAGGCACGGAGTAGTTCATTGGGCATGTAGATAGTGCAGTGAATGAGACCCGCAGGGAACCAGGTAATGTAGTTGCAGTGATTCACGCAAGAGTGAGTAGAGTGGGTTATATTACTTTCAGCGGCCAATGACAATAATTTTTTGAAAAAATCTTAAGTCAACATACTAATTATTTTGAACTCTTTTCACACCTTCCATGAACCAATACCAACGAAAAATGACACCCGACATATGTCTGTGGGCTATCTCCAACACCCCACCTCGAGGTCTCGCTACGCATGCGCGCAGCTCTCTCTACGCTTGGACTTCTGCATGTGCACATGTTCTTTTCTCTGCTTCTGCTTAATTTCTATTATTTTCAAATAAATAAGGTAGGAACTCTAAATTTTAAACATGAATTTCACAGAATTTCTAATAGCTTCAAACTCAGAAAAAAACTTTGATCCCATTATTAATAAAATACAACATCTTGAATGATAAATTAAAATGTCCCACATGTGAGTCTGATTTGAGGTTAAACCTAGACAGTTTGTACTTCAGATGCAGACGCTCTGTTTTGTCAAATAGAGAACACAATAATAATAATGAACGTATAAATTGCAATTTTAAAATAAAAGTTTACTTCAATACAATTTTTGATTTTATTAAAATAAAAATCACTGTTTTCAAATTTTTTGCATTTAAACTCAGTCTCAGCACAACACAGAGGTTTCTAGCTGGAGAGCTAAGACTATCAGAGAAATCTATAGTCAATCTGAATAAAATATTCAGGTTAACTTGTAAAGTATATATAGATAAAAATAAACAAAAACTGGGGGGCATCAACCATATAGTTGAAATCGATGAAACTAGGTTTGGTCCAGGGGAAAAATCAATTAATAGAGAAGAAAGGTACTGGGTCCTTGGTGGGATAGACAGAACTACTAAAGAGACATTTAGTCTCGTAATAGAAGACAGAACTTCAGACACACTCATAAGACATATTAAGGATAATGTACATCTGGGTACTACCATACACACAGATGGTTGGGCCGCATACAGACGGATCACCAACCATGGGTACGTACATAAATATGTAAACCACAAATACAATTTTGTGGATCCAGATGACAATACACACACTCAAAATATTGAGTCAATGTGGAACAACATTAAAAGAGAAATCCCTCGAAAAGGAGGTAAAAAAGAATATTATCCACTATACTATGCAGAGTTTGTGTTTAAGAAATTATTTAAACCTGAAGAGATTAACAAAAAGTTTCTCCAACATCTGTCTACCATTGAGCCAGTGCAATTTAGAATTTTACTAGACAATTTAAAATAAATTTGCAGACAAACCGAATTTTCAAATTTTGAATTTTTAAATAATTTAAATTTTTATTGAAATTTTATGAATATTAGACCCAAAAACGAATATCTGACAGACTGGAAATACAATCTCATGTGAAACAAATAAATAACAGCAGGTGAGGCGTAATGGAAGAAGGAAATAAAATAAATGTTCTCTTCCAACAAATTTAATTTTATAAATGTACCGTTAGAAGGACGGAGGAGTTGTTTGTGAAATAACCTCATCGAAAGATTGTTACACTACTGAGGGTGTAAATACATCTTACAGGAGGGGTTCTCATTACAATTTGGGGTTATTGGCAATTTATTGCATTAACTCCCAAACATTTTTGGGACCAATGCCCCGCCGTGTCCACGTCACGGTCCTGGAAGCATGACTGAGTGCGGTGGCCGGGAGTAAATTCATTGAAAAATCAATAAAGATGATTTAAATAACAAAATATAAACAGAATAGTGTTAAACAACCTTCAAAAAACATGTATTTACAACCACTCTATTNGGTGTAAATACATCTTACAGGAGGGGTTCTCCTTACAATTTGGGGTTATTGGCAATTTATTGCATTAACTCCCAAACATTTTTGGGACCAATGCCCCGCCGTGTCCACGTCACGGTCCTGGAAGCATGACTGAGTGCGGTGGCCGGGAGTAAATTCATTGAAAAATCAATAAAGATGATTTAAATAACAAAATATAAACAGAATAGTGTTAAACAACCTTCAAAAAACATGTATTTACAACCACTCTATTCGTGGCCGTCCAAAGTAATATTACCCGAGTGGTTTAGGTAGTATATTTCCTGTTCGGAGTGATTCACGCAGGAGTGAGTGGAGTGATTCACGCAGAATATTTTCTGTTCGGAGTAATTCACGCCAGAGTGAGTGGAGGGGTTGATGTAGGATTTGCATAGATGTGAGTGAGTCACAGAGAATATTTCTGGAGTGGTTCACGCTTAATATTTTTTGCACGGAGTGATTCACGTAAGAGTGAGTGGAGCGATTCATGCAGTATTTGCATAGCTGTGAGTGAGTGTAGTGGTTCATATAGTGATTCACGCAAGAGTGAGTGCAGTGGTTCACACAGAAGTGTTTTTGTTCAGAGTTATTCACGCAAGAGTGAGTCGACTGGTTCACGCAGCACTTGCATAGATGCGAATGATTCATGTAGAATATTTTCTGTTCGGAGTGATTCACGCAATAGGGAGTAGAGTGATTCACACAGAATATTTCCTGTTCGGAGCGATTCACGCAAAATGCGCAGCATTTGCGCAAATGGAAGCTGCGGAATGTAGAATTCAGGACCCAGTCAGATAGTGCTGTTAGGGGGGGGGGGATAAAGTAACGTCAGTCCCACAGATGACCCTAGTGATTTATGCAAGGGTGAGTGAAGTTATTCACGCATTGTTTATATAAATGGTAAGGATTCACGCAGGATGTTCTCTATTCTGCCTGATTCTCGCTGAATATTTTCTATTGGGAGTGATTCACGCAAGAATGAGTGAAGTGGTTCACATAGAGTAGTTTCTTTTCAGAGTGATTCACGCACAATCCGCAACATTCGCACAAATGTGTGCCACGGAACGTAGGATTTCAGGACCCAGTCAGATAGTGCTGTTAGGGGCAGGGGGGGGGATAAAGTAACGTCAGTACCACAAATACCCCTAGTGATTTATGCAAGGGTGAGGGAAATTATTCATGCAGTACTTATATAAATGGGAGGGAGCCACGCAGAATGTTTCAATTCTGCTTGATTCTCGCAGAATATTTTCTGTTCGGGATGATTCACACAGAATATTGTCAGTGTCTATTCGCACGCTCCACGGTAAATTTTACCGTGTACTCACGGTAAATTCTCACTCACATATCTTGTCTGACAACTCTGCTATGAACTCTGCTTTTCAATTCTGACGATTGAGTTGAAAAGCAGAGTTGTGATAGCATTGTCCAGCGGGGTCTAAGAGTCTCCCCTGGATATCTTTTCCCCCCATGGATACTATAGTGATCGCCAGGTAGTTGACGGCATTCGCAACATAAAAGCATGAAGAAGATTTATTCGTTGCGAGGGTTGTTTTGCGACAACTCTCCGCAATAAGTGTTTCAAAAAACTGAGCCAAGTACGTTGGTCCTGAGAATTTTCTAAACAATTTTTTTCTTAAAGAAACACTCATATTGACACTTTTTATCATTGACTTTGTGTTGATAACCACACTTTTTATGGTCGTACCCACTCCGTAACTCACAGGAATAGACAATATTGAGTTGGCATTGATGAGTTCAAACTTATAAAATTTGCAACAGTACAAGCCGACTGTAGGAAAAAGCTGAAATTGTTTCTAGATGTTATGAAAAGTTCTGTGGTTTTTGAAAATGACAAGTTCAACTTCATGAACTTGTCATGTCGAAATTCCTTACTTTCGAATATATCTTTGGAAAACCTCAATGATAACCCACCGTTTCATGAAACACCCCTGCAAAGCTCCCCTCTTTACCAGCCCCCCCCCCGGATATCACTATCCCCCTCTTTGGGAAATTGTCCCTGAAATATTGAAAATTTTTTCTAGATTATAGAAAATATTTTTTTCTAAAATTAAGTATATTTTAGTTTAAAATTAATCCCAATTTTGATCATTAATTTTAACCGATTTATTTATTTTATAAAAAAGTTGCTAGATTTTAGAGACCACCGTTTCTAAAATTTGGAAACTTTTTTGTGGGAGTTCGGTGAGGGATAGCTAGGTTGTGTAACGTATAACACTCGGAATTCGTGTAGTATATCGAATAAGATTTATTCACAGCAATGTAACTTGGTTTACACCATGAGAGCTGGAACGAGAGTGTGCTCTCGCGACAACGGTATTAATCATCCGAACAAGGATGTCCGAATTATAGCGAATCGTCGCGAGGTGTTGTGATAAGGTATTCAGTTGCTAAGCCGATTGTACCTCTAATCATTATGGCACAATTCATTATACCACTTAATTACGGCACAATTTATTACAGCACATTTCATTACAGGAACATTTCATTACAGGAATATTTCATTACAGCAGATTTCATCAGAACAGTAATTCATCATCATATTTCCATCATTACAATTTGAATTCAATGCATCATTCACATCACGATCAAAAATCACGGCTGAATACTATGAGCAACTCCACGCAAATACTCAATGATATCGGCATCTTCGCTCCACTCCATAACGACTGTAAAAAGCCGGGCATCATAATCGATGTACTTCTTCCTCTTAGAACGTATCACCAATCGACCAGCATTGTACTGTTCCCAAATAGATTCCGCTGATGCTTGCTCAACTTCGTGTTTACTTTCAAATGAGAAGAAAATACGAACAGCCTCGAATTTATATGTCAATTGATGAATCCCGCAATAATAAAAACTTCCGTAATGAATTGTCCATATGATGAAAAATGCTATAATGAATTGTCCCCATACTGACTTGACCATATGATGAAAAATGCTATAATGAATTGGCCCCGTAATCACTTTTTGTAATGAAATGTACCGTAAAATAACACGACTGTAATGAATAGAGGTAATACCTGCTAAGCCAAGCCCGAACACAATACATTGAAATAATCTGAAATTAATATAATAGTAGCTTCGCTACATTTTTTCTGAAGCTAATCCACTTTTTTTTTCCGTATGAATCAAAACGAAAAATCGGTCCGTATCAAAGCGAAAAATCGGCTTGACTCAAACCGAAAAATTAGTCTGAATCAGACCCGAAAAATCGACCTGAATCAGACCGGAAAATCGACTTGAATCAAACCGAAAAATTGACTAGAATTACCTCGCTATCCACTACCTGAAACAGGCAGAATTTCGGCATGAGTCACTCCATTTATCGGTTTGATTCACGCCGATTTTTCGGTGTGATTCAAACCAATTTTTCGGCTTGATTGAAACCGAGGTCGGCTGGACCCGTTTCTATTTGGAATAAACCACTTTTCAACTTATATCAGATCCGGAATTCGGATTAGCCTAGTCCGAGTCACTCGCTCTGAATCAAGTCGAAAATCGGTTAGAATCAAACAGACGTCGACTTGAGTCAGTACTTTTTTTTTGGTATGGGCGCACTAGCGGAAATGTTCCGCCATTAGCCACACGTATGCTATACGAGAGTCGCCTCTGGGAAGTCCGGGCAACGGCGCTCGAACATTTGATTTCTACGAGGGGAGGAAATGAGAAAAAGCCCAGGGTAGGCCGAGGATGGCCCGGTGCTGACCAATATTGGACCAGCCTTGGCCAATCTTGGGCCATTCCTCATCTCCTATTAGGGGATGTATTTACGGAAAGAACTATTTTTTCTTCAAACGACAGGAGGAAAGTGTTTCATTCTTCGCATTTCTGAGATTTTTGATGATATTCAGAATCAAAATATACCATGCAGTTTTCACACACGGCTCAGAATGTCCTGTTCTCCTCTCTTGGTGTACAATATTAACGGAAGACTACTATGGAATTTGAAAGTCTTTATTAGAGCTGGCACCCTATTGAGTGACTTTTGATATATGACGGTCATGTTAAAGAATGGGAAAGACAATCAATTTTTCTCTATACGTCTACAAAAAATTACATTTTTCATTTTCACTTTGAAGATCGTCTAAGTAGATCATACTTGGATTTTCATCCGATTGACATTTTCTGTTCAAACTGTTCATTAGACTCCAAAAGCCAAACCAAAAACCCATTTTACGATCCATTGGATAGATCATGGAAAAAAAAATTGAAAAAGAAAATTGATTAGTTACCGCACAATATATGAACAAAAAAAATGACTTTTTTATTTGTTTATGGTTTATCCAATGAATCGTGAATTGAGTTTTTTGTGATATTTGCCTCAAAAGTGCACTTTTATAAATGGTTTAGTATGCGTAAAGCGGTTGTTTTCCGCATGGCGCGTATAATGTTCATGAGCATGCGTAAAGTGAATTCTCGTAAGCGAAGCTTTACGCACTCGAAATTTACTTTTTGTCATTCAGGCCATAAGACAGCGCTACACTCCCTATAACCGTTATGACAAAAAATATCATTCGCTACATGGCCTAAAGAACTTTTTTAGCTCATATGATTGCACCCTCGCCTTTGGCTCGGGCTGCTGTCATATTTGCCAGAAAAGTTTTTTCGGCACCTATCACCAAATATACTATTACGCACTTGGCGAGCATGTAGCTAGCACATTGTCAACAAGGTGAGGGGTAAGGGTCAAAAACGTGTTCACAAACCCCATATATAAGCAGAAATTTGAATGATTAATAAAAAGGAATGAAACGATAAAAGTACTCGGCGTTTTTTCTACAATTTTCGTTTTATCATTCTTGATTATTATATGACACATTCAGTTCGTTCGCAAATTGTCGTTTTGTGGCGAAAATTAGTGACGAGACTCCTTAAAGGTCAAATGGAAATGTTTAGACATAAAGGACGTTTTTTAAAAAGTAAGATGTCTTTTTGACATATACATTTGAATTTTCTTTCTAATAGAGCAAGCACACTCATCACAACTATTGCATTCATATTATGCTACTTCTTCACCTTGGTTCTAACATTTTTTTTAAACTTAAATCCCTTGAGTACACAGTCATGAATTCAAAAATCTGAGCATTCTTTGAAATCACTAATCTAATCAACCCCCAGGTCTTCACACGGGAAGCAACGGAAAGAAACGTGTGCATAGCAGCGGCAGAGAAGGTACCAAGTGCGGCGGATGACAAGAAATTCGATGCAATAATTCAAAAGCTCTCAAAAAAACCAAATGCAAGAGCAGTTGTCCTCTTTACAAGAGCAGAGGATGCCAGGAGAATTTTAGAAGCAGCGAGAAGATCCAATTTGAGTCAGTCGTTTCAGTGGATAGCATCAGATGGTTGGGGTCGTCAAAACAAATTAGTTGAGGGCATTGAAGATGAGGCGGAGGGAGCAATTACCGTGGAACTACAGTCGAAAAATATCCCCGGCTTCGACGAATACATGGCTGAGTTAACGCCCGAAAATAATCGTAGGAATCCTTGGTTCGGAGAGTACTGGGAAGAAGTATTCGGTTGTGTACTCAGAAAAAATATACCCTTGGAAACCCACAAAAGTCTAAATATTTGTTCATCAAAATTAAGCCTAACACCTACTAATGGTTATGAACAAGAGTCCAAGGTACAATTTGTTGTTGATGCTGTCTATGCTTTTGCCATCGCACTACATAATCTACAGCGAGATCTGTGCGGCAAGAGTAAAGCCCTTTGTCAGGCGATGATCGATTATGACAAGGGTATATTCTACAAGAAGTACCTACTCAACGTTTCGTTTACAGGTGAGTGCGGCTTTTCCCAGAGGTAAAGACATGGTAAAATGGATGGGGGAGGGCAGCATCAATAATTGTCCAATAGAAATTAACAGGATGTCTATAGTTTGCTCCTTTTTAGCGTTCCGACACATTTAAATTGTGTAGATCTTTGATGAGCGCAGATTATCTACGAATTTCATATGAATTAGTTCTGGAAATAGCGAGCACATTAGTATATTTATTGACAGAGACAAGTGTCTCTTAATGAAATGTTTTATCTCATATGTTTGAAGATATTGGCAAAATAATTCATATGCCATCATGAGCCTACCATCAGGTCATCATAGGCTCTGACCCTGTTCTAGTAGTTGAATGATTTTAGACGTACAACGGATTGCATTAGTCACATAATTTCTATGTTGATACTAGATTTTGCAGGTCGTTTGGGAAGAGCAATTCACATGAATACAACACACACCCGAAAAAATCGTCCTGAATCAAACCGAAAAATCGCTTTGAGTCAAGTCGGACTGAATTATGCCAGGAATCAACTCATTTCCTGTCGGATCGTCAGAATGAATCAAGTCTGACTCGGAGAGATGCAAACTGGCATATTGCTCTGATTCAAGTCGACTTTTCGGTGTCATTTAAGTCGATTTTTCGGTTTGATCCAAGTGGATTCTTGGGCTTGATTCAAGTCGATTCTAGACGATTATACATGGGTGAGGTTTATGAATGGAGAATTTTATCAACGGGTGGGGGTTCTCAAATGCGAGTCTTATATAGAGGGAAATAATACTGTAATGAATCATTGTATTAAAAAAAATTGACGAAGACGTTTATTTATCAGAGAAAAGACATTTACTGAATAATGAAAGAATAAAAAATGATGAAAGAAGATAGTGGCGTGAATAACGTGAGAATAGAAGAAGTAGTGTTTCGTTAGATCGAGAAAGAGATGAGTAGAGAAGATCGAATATCGAATTCCGTAACTACTCCCTCCTTACAGAAAAGATCTGCCTGTCAAGGATGATTGAGATAACTTTCAATTGATCGAAAGAACATAAATTATCGAAATTAGAACCTGGGATCCATAAGCCTAATTGTCTTCTAAAATCCAGGCGGAAAATTACAAGGGAGAAATGGTTCATCTAGACATATTCGTATTTATTTCATCTTGAAAGATGAGTTGGGAGAGCACCCGATGCATAATCGGAAGGTCCCGGGTTCAAATCCCGGACTATCCATCCAGTCGGGACTATCCATGTTTTTAAGTAATAATTTTCCGGTTATTCATATTGAGAATAATCCCAGGTTCTCTCCTAGCTCATCCAAATCACAGCCAATCATTTCCTATGACGTCACAAAGATGTGGAACGCTATATAAATTCCTTTCTTTTAATGTAAAAAAAAGCCCCAATATAAATGAAAGCCCAAATATCGTAAGAATAGTAAATCAATTAATTAAATCTTCTATGAAAATTCCATCAGAAGAAGTAGCAATGGAAAAAAATCGAAAATAAATTCGCAGTAAACCAGATTCGAAAGTTTATAAAAGAAAAATAGTAAAAAAAATCCTCAATGGCTGTAACCCTGTTACAGCCGGTAAACTTGATGTGGACACATCTATGTTATCCATGCTTTTATAGTCGTCACCGAGAAATAGCTTAAAGATTTCAACTTGTGAGTGCAAATTCCACTTTGGTATCTAAATTTGACGAGAGAAATATGAAGAAGAAATTGCCTTCGATCCCGCGAAAATGCTAATTATTGCAGAAGAATTCATAACATATCCTTCGCGAATTATTTATTCCTTTAAAATTGCAGGTGGCTATATCTTCGATACAGCTGTAATTGTACATCCATACGTCTATGCTCTTTCCTTCTCTCTCGTATGTCCTAGAAATTCCTTACATTCCCTCAAATTTTCTAGGAACTCCCTAAATTCCTCCGAAATTGATAAAAATTCCTTGAATTTCCTCAAAATTTCTGGAAACTTCTCGAATTCTCTCGAAATTTCTGGGAACTCCTTGCATGCCCTCGAATTTTCTAAGAACTCCCTGTATTTCCTCAAAATTTATAGAAATTCATTAAATGTCCTCGAATTTTTATTAAAACTTCTCGAATTTCATCGAAATTTTTAGAAACTCCTCGAATTTCTTCGAAATTTCTGCAAACTCCATACGTTCCATTAGATTTTCTAGAAATTTCTTGAAATCCCTCGAATTTTCCAGAAACTCCTTGCATTCCTTCGAATTTTCTAGAAATTCCACGAATTTCCTCGAAATTTCTAGAAACTTCTTGCATTCCATCAAACTTTCTAGAAACTCCATGAATTTCCTCACAATTTCTAGAAACTCCTTGCATTTTGTTGAATTTTCTAGAAACTCCTTGAATTCTCTCGAATTTTCTAGAAACTCCTCGAGTTCCCTCAATTTTTAGAAACTCTTTCAATTCCCTCGACATTTATCGAAATTCCTTGCAGTCCCTTGAATTTTCTAGTCCCTTGAATTCTCAGAACGTTTTTAGAAACTCATTGAATTCCTTCGAATTTTCTAGAAACTGCCTGAATTCCCTCGAAATTTCTAGAAATTCCTTGAATCCGCTAGAAGTATTTAAAAACTTCTCGAATTACTTCGAAATTTCCAGAGACACCTTGAATTTCCTCAAAATTCATACAGACTCCTTGCATTCCCTTGAATTTGTTAGAAACGTCTTGAATTTACTCGAATTTTCTAGAAACTCCTTGCATTCTTTCTCATTTTCTAAAAACTCCCTGAATTTCCTCGGAACTTCTATAAACTCCCTACATTTCCTTGAATTTTCTGGAAAATCCTTGAATTCTCACGAGTTTTCTAGAAACTCTGAATTCCCTCGAATTTTCTAGTTTTAAGAATTCTCATAGATGGCGCTGCACATAAGGACCGTTTCACAAATTGACCATATACTGAAACCATGGACGTATCCACATCCAAAATAACCTAACTGTTCACTGCTCGCGATATTAACAGTTCCACTGCAGATTTAAGACTGCCGCTGAATCGCACTGGTTCCCCCTATATAGGGATTTTTAAATCTACAAACTTCTACACTGGAAATTTCTAGAGAGCTTAGTCGATAACTTATCCTAGAATACTCAGGCGGTAACTTATCATCAATTAAATTATAGTTCACTTGCGATTCAATAGATGGCGTTAAACATAACGGTTTTCTGAAATCTCCCCCCAGCTTGAGACCATAGACGTTTCCACGTCAAAATAGGAAAAATAAAACTTTTGGTTGAGGTTTAAAATGAATCATATGAGCTTTTAAGTCAAATATTGAATTCATTCACTCGCTTTTGATGTGCAATTTATCTCGAATGTCAAGATGAACAGAATTCAATTGATTTCTCAAATCATCCACAAAATTAGGCAGATTCTGAGAGTTATTTTCAGAAGGAATACCACGAATCAAATCTAAAGGAATTCACAATAATAACATTTGTCCTAGTAATAACATTCAGGGGGAATATTCAGTCGTTTGATGAACTGAATAGCGATAGGCTAGAAGAAATAGAGGAATTCATTGATTCCAATCTTTTGATTTTCATTGAAAAATTTCGAGGGATAATTACGAAGAGTTCGAATCAGTCGTTCCACCATACGATTAGATTGCGGGTGGAGAGAGGCAGTCCTAATTTTAGAAATACCGAGAAGTTTCATTACCTCTTTCAAAAGAGTAGAGTCAAAATTACGTCCCTGATCCGGCTGTACTCCTAGGGAAATTCCAAAAGGGCTAAAGAAATCTCGAATTAAAGCATAAGCTACAGTGAAAGCTTGACAATCTGGATGAGGAACGGTTTTCGGCCAGTGAGTGAAATAATCAGTTATGACGAGGATATAACGATTTCGTGAGGACGAATATTCGGAGAAGACCGACGATATCAATGGCGATACTTGCCAAAGGAAAACCAACATTGTGGATTTGCAATTTTTACACCAATTTTCTACGTCCGATTTGCATGAAGCCCAATAACAGTTTTTACGAATTTTAGCAAGTGTTCTATTGATTCCAAAATGTCCAGCATCTGGAGTATTATGAGCATTGAAAAGAATCTCCGAAATAATTCGTTCGGCAATAATTATCTGAAAGAAGTTTTTGTTTTGACTCCTCGATTCCTAGCGTCGATAGAAAATATCATTCTTGATCTCAAGAGATTCCTAATGGAGTAGATTAGATTTAGAAGATTCATAGCGGATGACAGCCTTGCTACATTTTTTACAATCGCATGGACGATGAGAGAGAGAATCTGCGTTACTATGAAAATATAACCTGGTCGATGAGCTATCTCAAAGTCGAAGGTAAAGAGAAATTCTATCCGCCTAGCAATCTGATTCTCGATTTTTTGGAATGAAATTAACCATTTCAGAGCGGCATGGTCAGTACGAATTGAGAGTCATCGACCTAATTGTTACGTCCGGAGACGTTATCCGCGTCGATGGAAAACAGTTAAAATATCAATTATTTTAATATACTGAGACGACCACTAAAATTATCCAAAATTTGTGATGTTGACACAATCACTACGATTAATCTTGTTTTAGAGTTTACTTGAAGGACGACGCCAAATAATTTCATTTCTCTTTGTCTTCGTAATTGGATAATTAATATAGGAAGGGGTACAAGGAAAGTTTAGGAAATTGAAGGACATCTCAAAATAACCCGAATATTTGTTTCGGTCTGAATAGTATTCGCGTCTAATTTCAAATGATTCGATGTTTAATATTACAAAAATTTTTATAATGTGACGTGAGGTTTTCTCACGTCTGGAAATAATAAGAAAAGCTTAGGTTGAGTAATTTAAGCTTGAGAACCGGCAAGGCTAAGCAGTCCCACGATGCTACCTGAGTTCAACATCCCAGACCCCTGCTCAGCGAGCGTGCTTGAAAATCACATGGACTCAAGCAGCTAATGAGAATAGAGTCGGTAGGGGTGCTTAGCCAGCTTTTTTGGGTCTGATCCTCTCTGGACAGACCAGCAGGGCT